CAGCCCATAATCCCAGCACTTTGGGAGACCAAGGCGAGTGGATTGCCTGAGCCCATGGGTTCAAGACCAGCCTGGGCAGCTTGATGAGACCTTGTCTCTACAATAAATAAAAAATTAGCTGTGCATGGTAGCGTGTGCCAGTAATTCCAGCTACTTGGAAGGCTGAGGCGGAAAGATCACTGGAGCCCAGCAGGTCGATGCTGGGGTGATCATGAGCATGCTACTGCACTCCAGCATGGGCGACAGAGTGAGTCTCTAACTCAAAAAAAAAAAAAAAATAGCTGAATAGGAGATTGTTGATGCCCTGTTTTATGAAGTATCCTTCAGATCTTAAATAAAAACATAGTGTTGAAAGCAGTCCTTTGTTTTCATGTTAATAATGGTAAAAAGCAGTTGAAAATAGGTGGACTTTGATGAGGAATGTCAAATGTTCTTGAGAAATTAACTTTTGTTGATATTGAAACTCATTCTGCAAAAGTCTGGGGTCTGAATTTAAATCCTAAGGATACAAAGAAGTACAGTAGTTGACTGTCTCTATGTGTGATTTAGAAGTAAAGAGTTCTAGGGTTTTCCATGCTTAGAAGATACTCTTCAGGTGATGATTTGAACTATTGTTTGTTTTCTTTTTTTGCATGTCTTGTTTCTTAATCATGTTCTGTGTATAAAAGCATACCACTCAAAGTAACATTTGATTTCTAAGTTGTAAATCTGCTAATTACATTTTAGCTTCTGAAGACTTCTTTGATAAATTAACAGTGGAACAGGAATTTATGTCTGGAATAGACACTGATAAGGTATGTGGACAAAAAACTCTTGGAAGTGATAATTGAAAGTTTATCAAACATAAGATTATAGCCAGAAAAACAACTGCTTTGATTCCCATGCCTTGCCTAAATATTTTTTCTAAAATAATTTTTTTCTTTACTCAGTCTCTTTTTATATAAAAATAAGTGTTACATTTGCATAAATATTTTTAAGAGCAAATGCAAAATGTGAAAATGCAAATTTTATCAAGTAACACATATTTAACATTACTCTATGCAAGATACTGTGTTATACATGGCGAGATGAGACCCAGCCCCTGAAATCAAATATCTTTAAGAACTGTAGTAGATAAATGAGGATATTTGCTTTTTTGAGATAATTTATTTCTTTCTTTCCTCTTTTTTTTTTTTTTTTTTTGAGTTGGAATCTCACTCTGTCACCCAGACTGGAGTGCAGTGGCCGCTCCCGGCCACCGCAGCCTCGACCTGCTGGGCTCCGGCAATCCTTCTGCCTCAGCCTTCTGAGTAGCCGGAATTACAGGCATGTGCTACCACGATTGACTGATTTTTTGATTTATTGTAGAGATGAGGTCTCGCTGCCCAGGCGGGTCTCGAACCCGCGGGCTCAGGCAATCCACTCACCTCAGCCTCCCAAAGGCGCGGGATTATAGGCTGAGCCACCAAGCCCGGCTTCTTTCCTCTTTTTAATTATTTTTTTTCTTAGAGTCTCACTCTGTCACCCAGGCTGGAGTTGCAGTGACATGATTACAGCTTACCACAATCAACCTCCCGGTCTTTCTGTGTCAGCCTCCCAAGTAGCTGGAACTACAGGGGTATACCATCACACCCAACTAATTTTTCTACTATTTGTACAGATGAGGTCTTGCTATGTTTCCCAGGCTAGTCTCAAACTTCTGGGCTCAAGCATTCCTCTCACCCCAGCCTCCCAAAGTGCTGTGATTACAAGCATGAACCACCATGCCTGGCAATAATTTCTTTTTTTTTTGAGTTGGAGTCTCACTCTGTCGTCCAGACTGGAGTGCAGTGGCCGCTCCCGGCCACCGCAGCCTCGGCCTGCTGGGCTCCAGCGATCCTTCCGCCTCAGCCTTCCGAGTAGCTGGAATTACAGGCGTGCGCCACCACACCCAGCTAATTTTTTGATTTATTGTAGAATGAGGTCTCACCAAGTTGCCCAGGCGGGTCTCGAACCTACAGGCTCAGGCAATCCATTTACCTCAGCCTCCCAAAGCGCAGGATTACAGGCTGAGCAACCAAGCCTAGCTGGCAATAATTTCTTAAAGGAGAGTTATCTCTCCTTTAAATATCCAACTCTATTCATAAATTTTAAATTTTTTAAAAATTAAAAATGTTTCAGTTTATTAAATTCCTAACTTACAAAATAATTCCTGTTAATTTTTGCTAGGTAAATTGCTGATATTATTGCAATAGACTAGGTTACACAAGCCCAGAAGCCCCACACATTTGGCAGCATCTCAGAAGGCTGTCAACAGAGGCAGATGTGTCCAGACAGGCATTTGGATTGACCAGTTGTATCCTCATTGGCCTTGTGCTCCTGTAAACTCTGCCTACTTTGTGGTGTCTGCGGGGGTTAAGAGAGTGTGTGTGTGTGTGTGTGTGTGTGTGTGTGTGTGGTTGGGGGAGGCTAGGGAAGCTACTCAGGGAGGGATTAGGGAATGGAAAAAACTAATGAGCCATTTTCTCACACACCTCCTTTATATACAAAATAATAAATATCAAGTTCTTTAAGTTCCCAAACCAGATACTTAGTATGTGTGTATACTGCTTTATTTCTAGGTCAACAATTACATTGAGGATTGTATTGCTCAGAAGCACCCATTGATCAAAGTGTTAAGACTAGTTTGCCTCCAATCCGTGTGTAATAGTGGACTCAAACAAAAAGTTTTGGATTATTACAAAAGAGAAATTCTTCAGGTCAGTGTATTTTTAAATTATTAATTTGCCAAGGGGAAAGCATCTTTTAAAAAAATACTTCACATAGCTGCTATTTTGGTAGATTGTTACCACTGTCTTTTTAATTTTTTAACACCTAGAGGAATTGGTCTTGATATTTATTGTTGTTTATTGTATTTGTGTAATAATAATAGCTAATATTTATTCAGCATTTACTATATACCAGGGTCCATTGGAAGAATTTAATGTTTATTCATTTGTTTCATCTTCATAACAACCTTGTGATCTGAGACCAAAACAGTACCCAGCTCTTAGAAAGTATTATATAAGTACTGGCTATTACTTTTTACTGTTGTTGTTGTTTTTTTGAATTGGAGTCTCACTTTGTTGCCCAGACTGGAGTGCAGTTGCGTGCTCCCGGCCACCGCAGCCTTGACCTGCTGGGCCCCGGCGATCCTTCTGCCTCAGCCTTCCAAGTAGCTGGACTACAGGCATGCGCTACCATACCTGGCTAATTTTTTTGATTTATTGTAGAGATGCGGTTTCACCAAGTTGCCCGAAGTGGATCTCAAACCTGTGGGCTCAGGCAATCTACTCGCCTCGGCCTCCCAAAGTGCTGGGATTACAGGCTGAGCCACTGAGCCCGGCCTTTTTTTTTTTTTGAGTTGGAGTCTCACTCTGCCGCCCAGACTGGAGTGCAGTGGCCGCTCCCGGCCACTGCAGCCTCGACCTGCTGGGCTCCAGCGATCCTTCCGCCTCAGCCTTCCAAGTAGCCGGAATTACAGGCATGTGCTACCACGCCCGGCTGATTTTTTGATTTATTGTAGAGATGAGGTCTTGCTGCCCAGGTGGGTCTCAAACCCGCAGGCTCAGGCAATCCACTCACCTCAGCCTCCCAAAGGCATGGGATTACAGGCTGAGCCACCGAGTCTGGCCTTTTTTTTTTTTAAAGTCAGAGTCTCACTCCATCACCCAGGCCGCAGTGTAGTGGCACACTCACGGCTACCCCAGCATCGATCTGCTGGGCTCAGGCGATCCTTGTATCTCAGCCTTCCAAGTAGCTGGAACTATAGGTGTGCACTACTACGCCCAACTAATTTTTTCATTTTTTGTAGAGACAAGGTCTCACCATGTTGCCCAGGCTGGTCTCAAACCCCTGGGCTCAGGCAGTCCTCTTACCTCAGCCCCCCAAAGTGCTGGGATTGCACGCTGGAGCCACCACGCCCAGCCTCTTTCCTTTTTCTTAGCAGAAATAAAATCCTACTATACATCATATTCTATTATCATTCTTTTTTTTGTCCTTAAGAACATATCCAGAAGATTTTTTTTATCTGAATGTATAGACTGGGCACAGTGGCTCATGGCTATAATCCCAGCACTTTGGGAGGCAGGGGTGAGAGAATTGCCTGAGCCTAAGCATTCAAGACCAACCTGGGGAACTTGGCGATACCTTGTCTCTACAATAAGTCAAAAAATTAGCCAGGTGTGCTGGTGCACTCCTGTAGTTCAGCTACTTGGAAAGCTGAGGTGGAAGGATCGCCTGAGTTCAGCAGGTTGAGTCTGTGGTGGTTGTGAATGTGCTACTTCACTCCTGCCTGGGTGACAGAAATTCCAAATAAAAAAATTTTAAAAATTAAAAAAAAAAAAAAGATATATAGATATGCCTCATTTTTTTTTTTTAGAGCTAATTACATCCTCTTTTTTTCTTTTTTTGAGTCAGAGTCTCACTCTGTTGCCCAGGTTGAAGTACAGTGGAACAATCACAGCTTATTGCAGCCTCTACCTCCTGGGCTCAGGCAATCCTTCCACCTCAGGCTCTCAAGTAGCTGGCTAATTTTCTTATTTTTTGTAGAGACGAGGTCTTGCTATGTTGCCTAGGCTAGTCTCAGAACTCCTGGGCTCAAGCAGTCCTCCTTTCTTGTCAAGTTGATGACAAGTGTGAGCTACTGAACCCAGCTATCTCCTGTATTTTTTATCTTTTATTTTTTTGAGTTGGATTTGTACTCTGTTGCCCAGGCTCGAGTGCAGTGGCACAGTCATGGCCACCCAGCATTGAACTGCTGGGCTTCGGTGATCCTTCTTCCTCAGCCTTTCAAGTAGCCAGAACTATAGGTGCGTGTTACCATGCCCGGCTAATTTTTTCATCTGTTGTAGGGACGAGGTCTCACAAGTTGCCTGGGCTGGTCTTGATCCCGTGGGCTCAGGCAATTCACTCACTTCGGTCTCCCAAAGTGCTGCAATTATGGCTGAGCCACCCAGTCCAGCCTATATTCTGTATTTAAATGTACTATGTTGAATACTCACTTAGGTTGGGTCCATAAATTCTGACTTTAAAATAAAAATTATAAATTGTTTTGAAATAATGAGCTGGATTAATAGTAATGGGCTAGCAGCTTTAGAGCAGGTTTCATCCCTCTCCCCTCTCCCCTGTGATCATTGACAGTCATTGCTAGACTTTCATAAAATGCCCTGGAGTATAAAGCAAATTGATTTGTTGCTAGTGCCCTTTTTTGAAAATCGCAGAAACCCTTTTCCTGATCTGACGTCAATGCCAAATGACTTCTCTTGCAGACATATGGCTATGAGCACATATTGACTTTACATAACCTAGAGAAGGCTGGCTTGCTGAAACCTCAGATGGGGGGCAGAAACAATTACCCAACCATTCGGAAGACGTTACGCCTCTGGATGGATGATGTTAACGAACAAGTGAGACCCACTCTTAAAACTTAAACATGGTTGAGTTACTGGTTAAGTGGTTTATGTGACAACATATGCTATGCAGTCTACACATCTGCCTTGCCTTCTTGAAAAAGATAATGCCCTCATGTGTTGTGCCCATCAGAATCCCAGCAGGAAACAGAATGCCCTCAGACTGAGGAGTTTTGGAGAGTTTAATAAAGATGGCAGGGTGGGGACCGGTGAGAGGCAACACAGAGGGGAGCCCTGACCAGCCTAGACCTGAAGGGCAAGGAGAGGTGTTTATTCCAGAAACCTGTCCTGGAACCTGGAAAGAAGAGCTGTGACGGGGAAGCCATCTGGCAATGAGAGGAGTGAGGGGACTCTGACTGGGACGCAGTCAACCTCAGCAGTGTCACCAAGAGGAGGCGGGGCATGGAAACCTCAGCCTTATGCTGTTCTCCACTCTCCATTTCTCTCTGATACCTTCCAAGGCCAGACCCAAACAGAGGGCACGGAATGTGTGTGGGGGGCCTACAGGTTCGCCTCTGGGCACAGGGTGTTGTGGAGAAGAGTGGAGAGTGGAGGAACCAGTGGAAGTGCCCAGCACACGCGGAAACAAGCCAGCCATGCAAAAGCAAGGGAAATAGTGCCCAGGAAGTTTCCTTCCACAACCAGCCTGTTTCCCCACGGAGGCAGCCGCTGTAGCCAGTTTTTTATCTATGATCCTTTGAGCACATTTTTACAGAAGGGGCGTATATACTCTTCCATTGGTCTCCAATGTAGGGTGACTTTGCTTTACATGGATTGTTTTCGGTTTTTGTATTTTTTTTTTTGTAGAGACAGGGTCTTGATACACATTGTACAGGCTGGTCTTAAACTCCAGGCTTCAAGTAATTCTCCCGTCTTGGCTTCCCGAAGTGCTAGGATTATAGGCGCAAGCCACCACGCCCAACCTACATTTATTGTTCTACTGTTTCTAAATGTAGTTTTCGGCTTTTGACAAGGGATCTCTGCAACAAAAGCTCATAACTAGACAGTCTACTCTATGAATAGAAAATTTGATTTTTTCCCCCAGTGGAAAAATAAAGATCCTTAATGTCTGTGTTGAGTCATGTGTGTGATTATTTTGTCTCATCATTGTTTAGACCTTCATCCCCCAGATCCACCCACTACTTAACAAGGGATCTTGATGAGCCTTCTGCGACCTATCTCTTTTTTTTGTTTTTTTTTGAGTCGGAGCCTCACTCTGTCCCCCAGACTGGAGTGCAGTGGCCGCTCCCGGCCACCGCAGCCTCGACCTGCTGGGCTCCGGCGAGCCTTCCGTCTCAGCCTTCTGAGTAGCCAGAACTACAGGCGCGTGCTACCAAGCCTAGCTGATTTTTTTACTTATTGTAGAGATGAGGTCTCGCTGCCCAGGCGGGTCTCGAACCCGCGGGCTCAGGCAGTCCACTCACCTCAGCCTCCCAAAGGCGCGGGATTACAGGCTGAGCCACCGAGCCCGGCTTCATTTTTTATAAATTGCTTTTAATTGCTATATAGTGGCTTTGAGGATATACCTAGTATAATTAAACAGATTTTTTTTTTGAGACAGGGTTTCACTTTTGCCCAGGTTGGAGTATAGTGGCATGATCTTGGCTTACCGCAGCCTCGAACTCCTGGGCTCAAACAATCCTCCTGCTTCAGCTTCCTGAGTAGCTGGGACTATAGGCTTGTGCCACCATGCCCAGCTTATTCTTCTATTTTTTTTGTAGAAACAGGGTCTCACTTTGTTGCTCTGGCTGGTCTCGAACTCCTGACCTCAAACAATCCTCCCGTCTTGGCCTCTCAAAGTGCCAGGATTATAGACATGAATCACTGCACCTGGCCAACAGATTCCTATTGATAGACATTCAGACACGAGAGGATTGCCTGAGCCCAGGCGTTCAAAACCAGCCCGGGCAACTGGGCGAGACCTTGTCTGTACAATAAACCAAAAAAATTAGCTGGGCATGGTAGCACGTGCTTGTAGTTCCAGCTAATTGGAAGGCTGAGGTGGAAGGATTGCCTGAGCCCAGGAGGTCAAGGCTGCAGTGGCCATGAGCGTGCCACTGCACTCTAGCTTGGGTGACAGAGTGAGACTCCAACTCAAAAAAAAAAGTTCAGGTTGTTTCCAATCTTATGCTGTTACATACAGTATTGCAATTAATATGTTTATACTTTTGGTCTATTCCTTGATGGTTTACAAGCACCTCTATAGGATATTAGGCATTTATCCTAAAAGTAGAATCGCTGGATTTAGAGGTTATGCGCATTGTTTTTCAGCTAGAGTGTGCCACGTTACCCTCCAAGAAGCTTCTTGCCAAACCAAATAACAGTTTTTCATATTCAGGACCTAGCGTTCCTTTGAGTAGCTTTTCACAATAAAATAGAGTCCAGCTGGGGTGGGTTAGAACAGGACATGAGGTGAATGTTTGTGCTTCTGCCTTTAAATCCATATCAGACCGTTTTCGATTACCCAAAACACCACAGTCAGGTGGCTCCAACTCTATATCTACAAGCTTTGTTTTCTTTGTCTAACAGAATCCCACAGATATATCCTACGTTTACAGTGGATATGCGCCACTCAGTGTGCGACTGGCTCAGCTGCTTTCCCGACCTGGATGGCGGAGCATTGAGGAAGTCCTCCGCATCCTTCCAGGGCCTCACTTTGAAGAACGGCAGCCACTGCCCACGGGACTGCAAAAGAAACGTAAGTCTCAGGCCAGCATCTACAGATTATTATGTACTGCTAGTGTGGTTTTCGTGTATTGTGTGGTTGCTTTGTAAAATACTTTGTAAAGCACTTAGGACTCAGAATCAAATATACCTCTTTTGTTAGTTGCTGATATATAGAGTAAACACTAGAACTGAGTTATTCCCTCAGGAGTAGCAGCTTTCAACCTCTGTGTTGAGAATCTCAGGAGTTAGAAAAAACACTGAGATCAAAATCAGTGTTCCTGAGTTTCACGTGAATTGTCTGTACCTAGACACATTTGACTTTTTTTTTTTTTTTTTTGAGTTGAGGTCTCACTCTGTCACCCAGGCTGGTATGCAGTGACATGATCACAGCTCACTGCAGCCTTGACTTCCTGGGCTCAGACAATCCTCCCATCTCAACCTCCCAAGTAATGGACTACAGACATACACCACCACTCCCAGCTATTTTTAAAATTTTTTTGCAGAGACAAAGTCTCACTATGTTGCCCAGGCTGGTCTCAAACTCCTGGGCTCAAGCAGTTCTCCTGTTTTGGCCTCCCAAAGTGCTGGGGTTACAGGCATGAACCACTATGCCCAGCCTAATAAATATGTTTAAATTCTAAAATGTTTAACTTTTAGGTCAACCGGGAGAAAACCGAGTCACTCTGATATTTTTCCTCGGGGGTGTAACCTTTGCTGAAATTGCTGCTTTGCGATTCCTCTCCCAGTTGGAAGATGGAGGTACAGAATACGTAATTGCCACCACTAAACTAATTAATGGAGCCAGTTGGATAGAGGCACTTATGGAAAAGCCTTTCTAGAGTGTTCAGAGGAGACTTAACAAGTATACTGCAGAATAAACTTCCTCTTTGAAGAAGTTGCTGAAAGGAAATGAAACCCCATAGAAGAAATCTGGAATACAAAATGTACCTTGGGGTCAGCTTAAATTATACTGCCGTTTTCTCCTTCTCTTTTGTGTTCCTAATTTCTTGAGGAAAGAATAATAGAGGAGAATCAGGCTGGATAAAACAAGCACTGGTTTTGCATGTTGTGAGCTCAGGATCTTCATGAGAGGCCTCTGGAAATACATTAAGGACGATGGGGATGGATAATCCATGCAGCCACACAAATGGAGCCAGCTTTTACCATAAGAAAACTGAGACTGGGGAGGGAAAAATGAAAAGTAGAAAGTCCAACTCCTAATACACAGTGCTATATTTCTTGAAGGCACATTGTTCCTAGGACAGTGATTAAGTGTTGGGGCTAGAGATATTATCCCTGCATTGTTTCTTTTTTCTGCAGAGTATGGCAGATTATATGTAAGTGTCACCAGTCCCTATCTTCACTGGATCACTCCGGCAAATTTTGCTGCCTTCTGCTTCTGATTTATTGTAGAGATGAGGTCTCACCAAGTTGCCCAGGCTGGTCTCGAACCTGTGGGCTCAGGCAGTCCTCTCACCTCAGCCTCCCAAAGTGCCGGGATTATAGGCATGAGCCACTGTGCGCAGCCGCCTTTTGCTTCTTACAAAGCAAGAGGTTTGGGAGAGTTTCTTGTCCAAAAAGTTAATGCCCTGTCTGATCAGCTACATCTATGCAGGTTCCATACATATCAAGGGCTTTTTATATTGAAGAACGTGACACCTGGGAAGCAGCCTCCTGAGAAGTTAACTGTTCAAAGATTTATTTATTTTTGAGTCAGAGTCTCACTCTGTTGCCCAGGCTGGAGTGAAGTGGCATGCTCATGGCCACTGCAACCTCAACCTACTGGGCTCAGGTGATCCTTCAGCCTCAGCCTTCCAAGTAGCTGGAACTAAGGCGTGTGTACCACCATGCCCAGCCCCAAAATCATTTTCTTAGTATACATGTTATTAGCTCCAAGACGTATCAGTGGTGGATACCTCCTTTGAGATTTGTTTTCTTTCCTGTCCTTCATGGGCCCAGCATGTACCTGGTCCTCCTGTAAGCAGTGGCAGCTCTTCTTCAGCATCTCGCAACTCCATCTTCGTGGTAACTGCAGCGTGTTAGTAGACTTCTACTCTAGCAGTCTGTGGACACTTCATACTCAGTCTCTTGCATCTGATTTGCTTAAAAACATGCCGCACTGTTTCAGCCCCTTGTCCATGACCTCAGCTTTCTCTGGTGTATCTCTCGATGGTCTTAAGAGTCCAGCAGCCGCAGCTGCTACTATTCCTGCAGAGGACTGCAGGGCTGTGGTAGAGAGCAGGGCTGTTGATGGAGAAGTTGGAAATCCCTGTGCCAAGAAGGGGACCAAATTAGGCTGATGGCTCCACTGCCATTGCCCAAGTCTCCAGCAAAATCAGCTGGTCCCCTGCTTTGCTAGGTCCCATTCAGCTGTGGTTTCTATTGTTAATTAGTAACCATGTACAGGTTTCCCTTACCTTATTCATTAGTGGAATTCTGACGGGCTCACAGCATATTATGAGCACAAGAGAAATTTTTATTTTTTTATTTTTTTTTGAGTTGGAGTCTCACTGTTGCCTAGACTGAAGTGCAGTGGCCGCTCCCAGCCACGCAGCCTCGACCTGCTGGGCTCTGGCAATCCTTCCGCCTCAGCCTTTCAAGTAACTGGAACTACAGGTGCACGCTACCACGCCCGGCTAATTTTTTGATTTATTGTAGAGATGAGGTCTCGCCAAGTTGCCCAGATGGGTCTCGAACCCACGGGCTCAGGCAATCCACTCACCTCAGCCTCCCAAAGGCGTGGGATTACAGGCTGAGCCACCGAGCCCGGCAAAATTTTGTATTTTTAAAGAATCTCTTTAGCATAAGAGTGAAGGGTAGCAGAGGTAATATTTAAAGGATTTGTTTCTCATGGAATTAAATTTGGCCTTGACATCCAGTATTTGGAAATGTCTTAAAACCATACTTGCTTTAGAAAATCCTTCTTCAAATACTTGTTATCCCAGGGAGATTAGTTTATACCTTCTAGCCCCAGCAGTTGTCAGCTTCAGCTGCTTTAGAGAATGAAATCCACCTTGTCTCTCAAAGTTTTTGGCTCATGGGATTCAATTCAAGTCTCCTTGGCTGGGGTTTTGTCCTATGAACAGATACTCAGTTGTAGTCTCATGTGTCTACATTCACTCGTGACTATAGTTGCTTGCTCAAAGCATAGCTAGGTCAACTCCTAAAAATGCATTCAGTAGAAGCCTGAAAACATCAATTTCTTCATTTGTATGCCAATAGAAAGTGGTAGATAATTATATATTATACGCTTTTGTGTAAGTTCATTTAATACTTGAAGCAGTCTTTGTCTCAAAGGAGTATGCCCTTACTGAGAAAGGGTATGTGAATGGTACATTTATTCTTGTAGAGAGTGGATTGTTTACATCATGTCTGGACTTTTGTCTAGTTGGATAGACAGTTCTTCTACACCAGCAGTCCCCTTAATAAAGAAGTCTGGATAGACTCTGTTTTGTGTCTTGATATACAGTTTTGAATTCTAGCCAACAGAGTATTTTTTAGTTGAATTGTGCACCAAGAGAGTAATGGTTGAAATGATTTAAAACAGCACATTTAATTCTCAGAAAACTGAGCAGATCTCAATGTGAGTTCTATTCCATTCTAGCTCTGCCCTCACTGGAAGTAGATTATGGTTAATCATGATATGCTGGTCTGTGTCTTGTTCTCAGTTGTGCACTAAAGACTGGCCCATCACCAGGAGGAATTGTCTGTTTTCAGCAGTGTTGAATTCAAGAAATGTTTTATAAATACCAAAATGAAGTGGGTATCTAAAAGCAGACAGAAAGAGGGACTATGGTAAGACAAAGAAATGCAGGTATCACATAGGCTGTCTTCTTTAGATGATGAATTATGCTATAGACTTTAATGCATTCAGTTATATGGTTTAATTAAAAAAACAGAAGATACCTTTTTGTCAAACAAAGAAAAAAGCCGTAGTGTGCAATTTCTCAGATTCTTTTGTTTCTAAATGGATTCATGTGAATTTCAAGCCATGTTTCTTGGTTTCATTTACTGTACTGCTGTAAAAAAAATGAGCCGGGCTGGATGACTCAGCCTGTAATTCCACACTTTGGGAGGCTGAGGTGAGTGGATTGCCTGAGCCCGCGGGTTCGAGACCCGTCTGTGCAGGCGAGACCTCATCTGTACAATAAATCAAAAAATTAGCCAGGTGTGGTAGCACGCACCTGTAGTTCCAGCTACTTGGAAGGCTGAGGCGGAAGGATCGCCGGAGCCCAGCAGGTTGAGGCTGCGGTGGCCAGGAGCAGTCACTGCACTCCAGTCTGGGTGACAGAGTGAGACTCCAACTCAAAAAAAAAAAAAACAAAGAGTAGTAACAAGAGGCTACAAAGGCTAGAACACCTGTCTTGAGATATCCATTTGAAAGATGTGAGAATTAAAAGGGAGCAGAATCAGACCTATTTTTAACAGCCTGTCTGTCTCATCCATTACTTTGGTGTGGGCAAGGTTAAAAATCTCAGCCACACTTTTTCCACTAGGTAGGACATGGAAGCCCTTCAGATGACCAATTCTCTGGGGGAGTAATTACTACTCACTAACTTCCTGAGCAGCTTGATAATGTTCTGCTCCTTTTTTCAGCCAGGCTGCAGCCGAGGCAATGATTTAATAATAAGAAACCCTGATTAAATTAAGGAGCCATTTGCTCCTGGATGATGATGTTGATAAAGAGGCTGATGTCCACACCGCCTGCTTTTTTAAAGGTCAAAAAATAGTCTAACTAAAAACTACAAGAAAATAATCAGAAGCAGCATAAAGTTTGTGCTTTCTTTTCCTTCATTGGTACATCTGGAAAAGTGTTCTTTGCAGAACTCCTGACTGGCTCCTTTTGGAGGAAGTGAAATTGGAAGCAGGCACATTGGGAAGATGCCTACATAATAGGTCTGTAAACTGCTAAACTCTGTAAATTAGAATCAAGCATCCGGAGCTCTTGGTCATCTAAGTTTGGGTCTCACACATGCTCACACGTGCATGTTTTTAGGATGACAGCTCTCCTTATTTGGACTATCATAAGTGAACGTTGTACAGTGATTCTTCCGGTGACCAGACTCAGAGTAGACGAGACTGCATTGAGTTTGTTAGAAAAGGAACCACTGGCACGATAGCCCTCCTACAGTGCTTGGAAAACAAGACAAGAAGGGGCTTGAAGTACCCCCTAGAGTACCGCCTGCTCAGCCCATCTGAGTCTTTGAAACCGCAGCTGAGCCCTGTGGCTGTGCGGGCGACGCAGGCGGAGGGCTGGCAGGGTTGCCAGTGCCCCGCCTGGCCTGGGATCGCCTGTGTGCATCTCCCGGAGCTCAGGGACCACGCAGAGGCTGTAATTGGTCTGTAGACCACACCTAGTTGTTGAGTGCGGCTGCTGCCTGAACATCCCTCAGTTCTGCCGAGAGCCCGGAGTGCACACAGCCTTCCGGCACCAGAGCGGACAGGAGCTGCGAGCTGCGGCTGGAGGAGTCGTGGAAACTTTGCCAAGTGAGTGAAATGGGAAGAGAGGGAAGCTCGTGGCTGGCACCGAGGGGAGTCGCTGGGCAGGGCAGCTGTGGAGGCAAAGAGCTGGGCGTGATCCCAAACGTCCGATGCTCTCTGTGGTGGAAGCTGGCTAGCAGGGCTGGGGAAGACGAGCCCTGGATCCAAGTGGCGCCCACCCGGGGTGCCCCTGCAGTCCTGTGGACAGAAGGCAGCATGCCGGCCCACACAGCAAAGACCCTCGAGGGCTGCGGTCAGCCAGCCTTGGGCCGGGACCTCGCAGTTTGGGCCTGTGCCCTTCCCCTGCCCAGACGCGTCTCTCTTCCCTTCCCGCCCAGGCAGGGCCACAGCTGGGGCTGCAGCCTGAGTGACGGGAAAAGAAAGCTTGGCTCCACCAGCCATTAGCAGCACTCGCAGCATTAAAAATGCAGGAGGCGGTGGGAAGCGAGGCCAGGGATGGAGACTCATCCAGCAGCGGGCGGGGAAGAGCCGGGCTTCTATCCCCGGGAGCCCAGATCCGAGCCGGAGGATGAGGGCAACTTTGGTTGGGAAGTAACTCTCCGGCGCCCACGCGGGGGAAATCCGCGCCCAGGGCTTCCGCGGCCTTGGTTTGCTCCTCG